TGAGTGCGGCTTCTTTAGGGTTTAGAAAGATACGTCTCAAGCGGTCGGTCACTGGCAGGTACCACATTACCAAGGCAGGAATTCTTCTCTGCTTTGCATCGTTGCCTAATGGAGTGTCCTCTGGGGGTTGAGATTCTTGTACCACCTTTTTTGTACCCTTCTTATTCCTCTTTTTCCCCGTGGAGGCTTCATCCCCACCGTAAAGATTATTGTTCTTGTACCGGTTGGCCCCACACCGGGAACATTTATCCAGTGACTTGAACGTTTCGCCACGAAAAAGTATACAGTGGTTGGGGCATGTATGGATTTCTTCAGCCCCCATTGTCAATGGACTTATGACCTTCTTCGCTTGGTATGTGTTGGCGGGAACTGAGTTTGGTTGTGGCAGCACCCATAACAGAAGATGCAATAGATCATTGAAACTACAGTCTGACCAGTCGTACTTAGCCTTTAGGATGAGCAGCTCAAGCACAAAACGTAGCAATGTCCAATATGTCGGACAACCCTTTTCAACACCATACACAGTCTCCTTCGATGCTTTTGTTACCCTTTCCAAATTTTCTAGACCTTTCGGGCTATTTAATAAAATCTCTGCTCCAAGGGCTCGAATCATGTCCTCCAAATCATCTTCATTCCCGACACGTGCTCCACCATCATTATTGGCACCACCTTTGTCGTTACCATCCCAACCACTAGCATCACCACCTTGTTCATTGCCAAACTCGAAATCCATTCGTGCATAGCTCTGCTGAATATTGGGACAGTGATTTTATGGTTTCGTCGTCATATTCCTCCTCATCCTCGTCGTTAACAATAACCGTTTCACCATAATGAATCCACACTGTGTAGTCCTCAACAAATCCTCGCATAATCAAATATGATCTGATGATAGTCACATCTGTCCATGCCATACGATTCTTGTAATCTTTGCAGGGACAAATAATTGTATCATTATTCTCTTTCAATGTCATTGCATGCTTCTTTACGGCTTCAATAAATTTATCCACCTCTTCACGGAAACCTGCCTTGAACCTTAACGAACCATACATCCAAGAGTTCATGTACTCCATCTTTTACAACAACAAAACAAACATTAAAGGACTACTTATTCAGATATATATAAAAATGAATCAAATTAATAATTACTTGAGAATAATTGTATATACTTCAGATATATATGAATATAAATCTAATATAATTACATGAAGCATACAAACACACCATGCTAGAGAAAAATTAATTAATAGCATATTTATCCATAAATAATTAAAATACATATTTATTGATTACAATAAACAATTTCAAAGACAACAATTAGCAACAATTATACTTTACCCAATATCCTTCATACAAACCCTAGTCCAATTTTATCAAATAGAAATTTACAAAAACAAAATTAATAAAAAAAATCAAACCCTAGATTTAGATCTACATGCACATGAAACATGAATAAAACTAACTAATTGTTCACTAAAATCAAGAAACATGGACCAAATAAGGGTATGATCTTGTTCCCCTCCCTAATTTACCCTAGTACATTTAAAACTTGGGTCTAATTTGCTTCATAAGTAACTCAAGCACCATACAAGAGAGAGAAAAACAAAACTTTAATTACTCACTAACTAACCATTAAAACTTAAAAAAGTGTGGAATAGCCTTTTCTTACCTTCTACAACCTCTCCACCAAAGAATTTGAGACCAAAACCTTCCCCCCTTAGTAGAGCAATTTTTGGGAGGTGCTCAAGGCCTCCCCATCTTTTTTCACGAGTTGAAGTGAGTGACCCGAGGAGGAAGAAGGTGCTGCAGTTGTTTTATATGTGGGTCATTTGTAGGGGCGGCTAATGATTGAGCCGCCCTTACAAATCGGATGTATTTATACGGGGGCATTTGTAGGGGCGACTTAATCATCAGTCGCCCCTACAAATAGAAACGCTGGGGGCGGCTGGTGAGTGAGCCGCCCCTGGCGGCTTGTATTACCAACTGCCTCTGCTGTTCCATTTATAGGGGCGGCTGGTGTCTGAGCTCCCGAGCACGCCACTATAGGGGCGGCTCCATCACCAGCCGCCCCTATAAAAAATTCGTCCCGTTGCTAAAAATAAAGAACGGGCCGGACGTGCGGGGCGTCGCGCTGGAGGGCGAGAAAGGCCGTGCCGTGGACCTCACCCCGCTGGCGGTGGAGGCCATCGCCGAGAGCTTCGGGGAGTGGCTGCGGGAGGAGCTCCGGCTCCGTGGCGAGGAGCCCCAGCAGCAGCTGCGGGTGTCCGTCGGCCGCGACCCGCTGCTGTCGGGGCCGCGGCTCGGCGCGGCGCTCTTCGCGGGGCTCGCCAGGGCCGGCTGCTCCGTCTTTGACATGGGGCTCGCCACCACGCCGGCCTGCTTCATGAGCACCATACTGCCACGCTTCAACTATGACGCCTCTATCATGGTAATAATAATCTAATTAATTAATAGTAACACTTTACGTTTGTGTCGTGCATGTCTCACGGGCGTTTACCGTTGCATGCATGCAGATGACGGCGTCACACCTCCCCTACACCCGCAACGGCCTCAAGTTCTTCACCAAGCGCGGCGGGCTCACCTCGGGCGACGTCGAGAACATCTGCGACCGCGCGGCGCAAAAGTTTGTGGCGAGGAAGATGGGCCTCGGACCCGGCGGCAGCCGCCGCCGGTGGTGATGCGCGTGGACCTGATGAGCGCCTACGCGCAGCACCTCCGCGACATCATCAAGCAGCGCGTGGCGCACCCGGAGCACTACGACACGCCGCTGAGGGGCTTCAAGGTCGTAGTGAACGCCGGCAACGGCCGAGGCGGCTTCTTCACCTGGGACGTGCTGGAGAAGCTGGGCGCTGACACCACGGGCAGCCTCCACCTGGAGCCCGGCGGGCGGTTCCCCAATCACATGCCCAACCCGGACGACGCCACGGCCATGTCGCTCACCCGGGGCGCCGTGCTGGCGCAGGGCGCGGACCTGGGCGTCGTCTTCGACACGGACGTGGACCGCAGCGGCGTGGTTGACGGCGCCGGGGCCGGCGCGGCCGCCATCAACGGCGACCGCCTCATCGCGCTCATGTCGGCCATCGTGCTGGACGAGCACCCGGGCACCATGGTCGTCACGGACGCGCGCGCCAGCGACGGGCTCACCAGGTTCATCGAGTCCAGGGGGGGCCGCCACTGCCTGTACCGCGTCGGCTACCGCAACGTCATCGACAAGGGCGTGCAGCTCAACGCCGACGGCGTGGAGGCGCACCTGATGATGGAGACCACCGGGCACGGCGCGCTCAAGGAGAACTACTTCCTCGACGACGGCGCCTACATGGTGGTGAAGATCATCATTGAGATGGTCCGGATGAAGCTGGCAGGGTAGGGAGCCTCATCAGGGATCTGCAGGAGCCCGCCGAATCCGTGCTCCTCAGGATGGATGTCTTGGGTGAGCCCAAGCATGCCAAAGAAAGGGCAACACAGGCAGTGGAGGCTTTCAAGAAATACATCCAGGTAAACTCATATATATTCATTTATATAAGTTTTTTGCACGAATGAATTTCACTACAAATTGACTATTAGGAGGACAAACTGTCTGGTTGGGTGCTTGATGATTGCGGGGATTGCTCAGTCGCCGAGGGATGCCTTGAGGACTCAAATGATCGGCCCATCGATGTTGATGCATACATGTACAGGTATCATCTACATGCTGCATACATACATGTTTCCCTTTGTACCTCATTTCTCACCACTCACCACACTAGTGTCGCAAATAAATCAATCAAAAACCACGCATTGCCACCACGATGGCTATCGGATGCTTTACTTATTACTACTTTGTGAAAGCAGAGCGAAACTTTACGACGAGAATCAGCAGAGAGCACTAGGCATGGTCCACCTTCGTCAAAGTGTGCATAACCCCAATATAGCACTAAACATGCAGTCCTATGTTCCTGGTGGTTGCAAATCCATGGCAAAGGATCTTCATGAGAGGTACAGAGAAATTTGTCAAGTAGCTAAAGCGCTTATATGTTTATATATATGATCTTAGATTTATCGACCCTGTGTACATTACAGTTGAGATACTAGCTAGGAGTTGACTACTGTTGCGAGAGTACATCTATTACATTATTCTCGTAGTATCCCTTCCATGGTGAACCTTGTATATATTTAGCAAATTTAGATAGCCGTATTTTCGATTCTATTATAATGATCTTAGCAATTTCAAAATGTATTCACAATCTATGTACGTACCATGTTGCCCCTCTGTCACAAGAAGAATGGTAGAGGACAACTTTTCCGGAGCCTCCATCATCGGCTCCAGCTCACTAGCTAGCTCAGTAGCTACATGCTAATTGCAATACCTGAGCTAAATTTCCAGTTCCAGCTTAAACCACGCCAACCATTTCAAAACTTAACTACTTTGTTGAAGTAGGAGCAAATGTTAACGCCAAAATAATTTTGCTTAAACTCAACGTACTTTCAGCCATGGCACCATTGTAGTCCGCAACCAGCCAGTGAGACAACTGGTGCAACGCGTCACTTCACAACAAGCGCATAATAGGTCGGGCCTCCCTCTTCTCTTTTTTTCCTGTATTGAACTTTCACTTTCTTTTAATTGATTGCAGTAGGGGTCCAAAACCCCTCCTGAGCCTTTCAAAAAAAAACGCATAATAGCCGACATATTGAACAACAGTCTGGTTTATTACAATCAACCTAATACAAGGTATAACCAGACAAAGTTCCAACAACACACTGCTTTTCATGTTGAGTCCCACTAAATTCTCAAGGCGGCCTAGAATATATACATGCTGCCTGGCTATCATCATCCTCATCCCCTAGGGGAACAACTGATTCGAGCCTTATGATTTCTGTCCTACAGTATACAGATATGCTCTGCCATATGCTACTCAACTAAGTATGCTCCTGCTATATTTTGTTCAGCCAAATCTCACACACGCTGTCACGCACGTCAGTTCTGCTCCGTGTATTTAGCTTGATATGTAGAGTGTCAAATTCTACTATTGATCATAAAACGCTATCCTTCGGTTTTGGGGTTGCTGACCTGCCACAATGAATTAGAGAGCAAACAATCTCAGAAATAAGTGGGAGAATCAGTGTTTGTAGATAGAACTAATTGCTCATCATGAATTGCTAAGTAAACTGACAAGGATTTAGTAGACTATATAGAGGACAAAGATAATTATGATACACAAGTAATCATAAGTAGCACACAAACTATCAATTTCCATAGTTTGGTGACATCATTTACTGCACAATTGTTAAACAAATAAGTCACTCACTGAAGTCGTCATCGTCGTCATCTGTTTGACTCGTGAAAAATGGAGTGAGATAATTCTTGTCAAGGGCAGTGAATGATGTCGTGCTGCATCATCATTAGAAAAGGATAAGCTATTGTTTCTGTGACATGACCTGTAAGCAAATGAAAACACAGAACAAATACCTTTTGTGGAACTGTTTGAGTTTCATTCTCAATCCTCCCCCAGATGATGTACCTTCTTCACAACTTGGAGGCATATAACCATTGTTGTCCTCGTAATTCTAAGAATGGTGAAAATAGAAATGTTAAAGTAGCCTCAGATGTTTTTTTAAGGGCCTCATATGTGTTAAAAGCAAGGAAATAGTGTGACAAAAAAGAGTAAATTAACTTAAAATCATTTAAATGCGTGAGTGGATAATCAACCACACTTCCACTAAGCATAGTCTAGGTCTGTCCGGAGCAGTACCAATAAACTCTTAACAAAATAGCCAAATTTTGGTACTGTAATTTTAATATTTTGGCTACCTTTATGGTATTCTCCCTGTCTCACTCAGACGCCACAATATTAAAAGAACAGGCCCCTCCCCTCAACCATGTCATAAACTAAAGTTATTGTAGTATAATAGCCAGAGTGTGCTGTAGCAAACTGCACAGAAGTTTACCAGTGCCCATCCTAGTGGAGACTAGAAGACAGATTCTTCCATTTATAAAATGTTAAAATACAAGTAACTCGTTTGGGAAATTGAATGTCTATGAACTCATACCAAAATGTGAATTCCACTAGATATTCCAAATACTATATAATGGTCATAGTCACACGTCTCATACAAATAAGCTATAAGATAAGCAAGTCTTACTTCTATTGATGTGTTTTCATCTCCAACAACATCCAAAGCTTCAAGCATAGTTCCTGTCGACCCTCCAATGAGAAGTACCTGGGTGATTAGTCATAGTTGATCACAGCAATAAAGTAGAGGTTTAAAAAAAAAGCAATAAAGTAGACTTGTAAAGATATAATGGTTATGTTGTGTATCATTCCAACATATAGCAATTTTTTTTCTTTGAACATGCAGGAGAGTAGAGTGTCATTTTATTAAAGAAGGAATAAAAATATGAAAGCAACATGCCCACACATACTAGTTAATTAGAAAAATCACACCACAGGTAGAAGATAGGTGAGCAATAATACAATCTAAACCAGGGAGGGAAACCACGCTTGTCCCACAACCAAGTTCCTGAGATCCCTGGCCCAGCAGCACACCAGACAGTACTTTCTTCGGTTACCGTGCTGACCACCATATTCACAGATGGTGAGGCATAACATATGGCATTTCAGAAAGCCTATAATTTCAACCTTTTACAAAGAAAACATGTTTGCTTGACAGAAACAGAATGTGCATGCTACTAAATTTAATATATATGACTTGAATTTACATTTTAGCTTTGCAATAGGCAACCAGCAAATGCTACGAGTGCACCAAACTACAAGCACTGTAACAGTTGTAATTGTAACTGAATTACAACCCTAGTGCATTATCTCATGGAACTGCAATCTACATGTATGTTACCAAGCTGTAACAAAGACACTGGTGCGTTTAATCACATATGGCACTCTGTTTTATGTGAGGTGTGCTGTGGCCAAAACGAAGTGTCAAAACTAAGTAATTACCGTCAAAACAACAATGGCTGTGGTAGTGGTGAATATCGTTTTTCCATGTCCTTCAGGAAGTTCATGCACAGATTGGAGAGCAAGTGCAAAAGCCATGGCCCCTCTAAGACCTGTTTGCCAAAAAAATAGCAATGAGATTTATAGTGTCAGTTTACAGTACAAAATCATAACTATAATGGCACTTACCGCTGAACCAGAGTGCTTTTTGATGCTTTAGAGGTATACGCCGATGTTGTGGCCGAGACATGTTAACCAAGTATGCACAAGAAAAGACATTCGCAGCCCTATACATTAAAAAGATGCATAAGTTCATCTTGAAGCAAAGCAAAATAATAATAATAAAAAAACATAGCATATTGGATATAAATTCCTCCAACAAATGAAAGCAGTAAGAATGCAGCAGATTGTTTGTCGCATGCACTGAGGCTTAACTTGGATAAAATAGATCAAATTTTTGGAATAGATTTAGGAATAGATCATTTTTCTAGAGTACTTTACTGCCATAGACACACAATGATGACTCCATCCTCATGCTTCTATTCCTCAAAGGAAACATAAAATAGAGTGCTTGTCAAGGATGAAGTGTTCATGGATCAACCAATTCTATTCCTCAAAGCAAACATGAAAATAAGAAGCAAGAAGGTGATGGATCACCCGATTCCTCAAACCAAACACCTCAAATCTCAGTATAGGCATTGCACAATGATAAAATTCATGTAAGTCCCAAGATAAGCATTGCTACAAACTATAGAGAAACAAACATAGATATGTGACTATGTAATCTAGTAACTACTACAGTTGTAAAGGGATATCGTAGTAGTACCTTGCAACAACTATGAATATCTGTTTTTGAATAAGTCAAGGAACCAAAGTTAAGCTAAACAATTGAAAGTCCACAACCAGTAATTGTTCTTTAGTTAAAAAGATGAAATGATTTTTAAGGATACAATTGAGAAGAAGATGAAGCCAACATGTGACCAGCTATGCTCTTCCATGGCAATATCGAATCCCATATAAATGAACCTAAAAGAAAAGGAACAGCAAATAAGGAACAAAGTGCATGGTTATATTTTTCAATTAGGCAATTACTCAACTAAAAGTGCTCCTGATGCTTACACAAATGTTTCAGCTAAAGATGACAGTAAATGGAAAAAGGCGGAAACAAAGCGCTGTGAGTTGTCTGACAGATTGGAATATGTGTAATGCTTCATAACCTGAGGATAAATATGAAATGTGTCAGGTATAGCCACAGTACAAGCATGAATGATACAATATGGTGAATGACAATAGCACTTACCATCCCCGTGAATAATATAGAAACAATCCCTGACAAGCCGAGTCCTTCTGCTAACATGTACCTGTATATAGTTCACAAAGTTCCACTGAAATAGATCTCCCAAAAGGGGAAAATACATTGAAGTTTAGAAGTATTCTTACGAAAAATATGGAAAGAGAACAAAAAGGCAGCACTCCAAGTTCTGCAGACTGAAAGAGTAAGCAGATCAGTAAATAAATTAACATATATCAGTCAGTAGGAACAAACGAAATACTGAAAAGTGAAAACAGGCAGCATGGTGACTTACTTATCAACGTCCAATCCAGCATATTTGAATAGGTATTGAGTGGTCAAGGGCTCACAAGATCATATAGTAATAGTAACTCAATGCGCACTAGAGCAAGCAGTTGGCGTACAATAGCAAATAAAATGCTCCAAGTTTGCATCAAGCTTTCTAGAAGTCAACACCACAGATTCACTAACTACTACATGGCAAGAACATAGTAAAAAAAAAGGTATGCCAAGTTGGCAACAAATTTGCTGTGTAAGTTGGCTAAAAGACAAAATATATTGAGTTGATCAAAATATGCTCCACAATACATCTGATGAAAAAATTAAAAGCACATTACATTAGATCAACAGATCAATTGTAATAGGTGTGTATAGCTATTCATTCGTATGATAGAAATAATAGGAACAAACTTTTGGATTTAAGACTTAGGAAAAAGGATATAAGAGCAGAGATAAATCCAACTCCCACACCTGCAAACAGGATACGGAATGGTTATATAAGCTCGTGAATGAATAAGGACAGGGAAAAAATACAACAATCAGAGAAACTTTATAAGAGTGAAAAGTATGCTTATTCCCCAAAAAAAAATCCATCCCTAAATCAAAAGAGACATGCAACAAATATCATTTAAGCAAGAGAGTCTCTCTTGGTTTGTTGTTTCAAGAATGACAGAAGAAAAATAAGGAAATGATATGCATTTGTTGTAGTTAAAATAACTGATCACCAAAGACTTGAAACATTAAAACAAAACTACTCCATGACACTGCAAGGTCCAGCAGCTCAACATGATACTGTCACTGTTCAAATCGATATTGTTTCCAAAAGTGAAGGTGCAAATAAATATGATAGGAAGCTAAAAATAGGAATCTGACCCAGGACGGTTTAAAGAAAGCGAACAGGAATAACGTGCTTCTGTGAGACCGTGTACCTTTTGGTAAAGAGTAGCCCAGTATTCAACTATATGTTAGATCGGTAACATGATATTTTACCAATGCTTATTGTAAGACTGTAGATGTAAAAACAACCAAACAGGCAAATGCTGCAGCAGATTCAGTTGAAACAAAATTGCACCTAGACCATTTGTATATTGCCTATTTAAAGGTTCAGCAAGAGACAAAGCCTTAGATTTTAAAAAATGGTAGAAATGGAAATTCCCCAGTACTAAATCTTGCAATACGTGAAGTGCCAAATTCCATATGCACACGATAGTAGAGGACAAAATTTTGTAAACTTTAGAGCCATGTGCAACTGAATGTGGAGCAAAAGTGCAACCTGATGACATTGAACCAACAAAGGTTTCAAGAAATTGGAGAATCATCATAAAAAGGTTATCGCCACCTGCTGCATGACTTCTGACTGATGACATTGTCCTGAAGAAAAGTATGTATGTAAGCAAGAAGCATATGGTTTTGAAAAATTATGCATCAGCTCAGAGCCAGGGCAGACCTGTAAAGAGAAATTGCCATCTGTCCATTCCAAACAGGGATACAGGCAAGTTAGTCATAAGTACAAGTACGGACTATTCTTACGTAAACTGGAAAGAAGTGAAAACAGACCGCATCATTCAAAACAGATTCTCCAAACACCAAAGCATACAAGTTAACATCAGAGCCCAGTTCCTGTACAGAAACAAATTCAAAGAGTTGTATATTATCAGTCTACGGACAACATCTTCAGAATCAGACATTTTCCCAGCCTAATGTGTACTTAAATCTGGGCCATGGTTAGCACTGGAACAGAATCTGTTTAATGAAAGACTAAGGAGGAAGGACGCCTAATAGAGCATGTAAGAATGGTTGCTTAGCACAACTTCACTAAACTGATGAAATCTACATTAACTTTACAGCTAAAGACGACATCTGTTCTGATGAATCATCAGTATATACTGATTATCATGGATTTTCATTTTGAAACTTACAACTACCATAAACAGTTATAACTCTATGAGAAAACAATGGCACTAAGATTTTTTATTCACTTTTTATCAGATAGTGGGAATGAGCCTTTTCCTTTCCAGATAACCTTAAGTTCCAGATAGTATCAAGCCATCTATTGTTCATTTCGCACTGCAGCTTAGGTTACTACCTGACATGCAACTGCATAAGCTAATATTTATTTTAGTAGTCAGTAAAACTTTCTATGACTAGCTTTCTATTTTGAACAAATGAATAATAGGCTGCATAATTGCACTGGTTAGGCTTTAAAAATGCTACAAGGCGGGGATGATCAAAATAAATTCCGCATATCTCTTTCAAATCCCCAACTTAATGTGTAAGGTATGATTTACTGGTAGTTACAATAAACCTAGGCTAAAGAGCATACTTAAAATCACTAACAACTAAAGTATCAATAAACCATAGCATGTAATGTTTCATAAATGAGAAACTAGAACACTGGAGCTTCTTCAAAGAACAGAGACAACTTTAAATATTAACTGGTGAGTTCCTGGCCAAAATTTGCATTAATTTCATAGATAAGAAACATAGGGATAAGGCCAAACATTTCAATAAAATGGTGTTGAAGATGATATCGAACTACAAGTTCAAGAATTACAACAAAAACAAATCCAGGCACCTGGAATATTGATAGCACTGTGACAGGATCAGTTGCAGATATAAGAGCACCAAACATAAGGCATTCAACCAGTGGAAGTTTGTACATTAGAAATGTCAGCCCACCAAGATAGCTGCAGTATAATAAAGAATAGACTCAGGAAACAAAATATTTCAGCAAATCTGGTAAATAGAGTTTGTTAATTGCTTACACAAGAACTCCTGTTACAACAGAAGCAATGAATGTCCCAAGAATTGCAAAAGTTACGATAGCCCCAAAGTTTGCAAAGAATGGTTTCTGTAAACCAATTAAGAGATTTCAAAAGGTAGCTTAGATAAAGAAAAATGTAGCCATGGTGAAGTACTAACCGGAGATAAGCTGAATCCCGACTGGGTATATTGAAGTCAAGGAATACAAATTTAATATTTGAATGTACTCCAGTACGGATGCTATGGATAAGCATTATGTTAGGTAGTAGACCTTTCTTTTCATCAAGAAAATCCAAGTGATGGGAGAAAATAATTGCAAAAAAGGATATAATATTATCGGAGGTAATAAGAACAAGAAGAAGAACTCTTCATGGAAGTTGAACCACGTCCTGCAAATTGAAGTAAACAGGACATAATCAATCGTAGCATGCTCAAAACTTGTGCAAATTTAAATCACAATGAACGAACAGATATTCAAGATGTATAACAAATAAAATTGCAAAAACAATACAAACCTTGTGTTGGTCTCTGTATTTGAAATATTAGCCAGGCCACCAACAACTAAGCCTGCAATAGAAACATTGAAGTTCCACAGTTAAAGAATGACTGCACTATGCATGAGCCAAAAATCAAATAAATAGACCTTGAGGGAAGCACCAATTTAAGAAGGTACAGTAACAACAAGAATAATGGAAAGCGCCCAATTGTGTTGGTCTCTCGCTGCCCTGCACAGGTAAGCAGTAAGCTTACCAACACACACACTCACTCACTATGGCTAGAGGTAGAAGAAGGGATTGAGCTCAGACACACACAACCCAAGCACCAGCGCTGGCCAGAGCTCTGCTCCAGTTTGTGACAAACTGAACTGCCCTTTTGCATTGCCTTGGGTGTAGTATATGTACAACTCATGTACCAACTATAAGTAACACATGAGTATGGTTGAGTACAGCCCCAAGTACTCCTAGTACTAGCAGTACAATCCTTACCTCAGCCCACTACCACGACATGGCTGATGTATTAGCTACCAACTAATGCACTAGTGGTGGCCTATTGCCTTACTGCTACAGCAACTAGGACAGCAGAGAATGACCTATTGCCAACTCTGTTGTGCAGCAAACAGAGAGAGAGAGATCGACAGCAGATTATGTCTTACAATTCTTACCCTAAACCTACTGCTAACCCAAAGCCTTGACCGCATCCATGCCAATCATCTTCCTCAGCTCCATGAACCGCAGGCGCCCGAGTGACTTGGTGAGGATGTCAGCGAGCTGTCTGCTGGTCTCGACAAACTCGATGACGATCTGCCCTCCATCGATGCAGTCCCGGAGGACATGGAACTTGATATCGATGTGCTTGCTCCGGTCGTGGAGGACAGGGTTCTTGGCGAGGACGATGGCGGGCTGATTATCCACCATCAGAGCTGGCGGGTGAGCTTCCTCGCCAGTCAGCTTGCCCAGCAGCCAGCACAGCCAGACAGCCTGGCACGCCGCCGTGGCCGCTGCGACATACTCCGCCTCACATGTTGACAGCGCCACAATCTTTTGCTTCATCGACTGCCAAGCAATGGGGGCTGCTCCAAGGAAGACGAGCACACCAGAGGTGCTCCGTCGACCATCAATGTACAGTGAGCTCCAGCTCACCTTCCTCGGTCTTGGGGGGTGCCTCGCTGAAGACCGTGAGCCTCAGCCCACCTTTGCCGCCGTGCTTGGGGAAGATGATCGCTTGATCAAGCGACCCCTTGACGTAGCGCAGCAGCCTCTTCACGGCTGTCCAGTGATCTTCATGCGGGTCCTCCATGAAACGGCTGGCGTACCCAACCGCGAACGCAATGTCTGGCCGAGTATGAGTGAGGTAGCGCAGCCCGCCGACGATGCTCCGGTAGCGCATTGCGTCCACTTTCACAACGGTGCTGTGCTTACTCAGCTTCAACCGCTCCTCCATCGGAGTCGCGCATGGCTTGCACTCTGCCATGCCGCCATGCTCCAGCAACTTCTTCGCATAGGCGCGCTGGCCCAGGGAGACGTGCTCCTTCCCCTGCCTCACCTCAATGCCGAGTTAGTAGGAGAGTGCGCCGAGATCGCTCATCTTGAAACGAGCTGCCATCTCGCGCTTGAAGCCGTCAATGTCCTCTGCCCACGCTCCAGTGACGATCAAGTCGTCCACATACACGCCGACAACGAGCTCCTCATTCCCCCGTTGCCACGTGTAGAGCGTGTGCTCTGTGGCGCAGCGAGTGAACCCAAGTTCGCCCAAGGTGGCATCGAGCTTGGCGTTCCACGCCCGAGGGGTCTGCCGCAGCCCGTAGAGCGCCTTGCGCAGCTTGAGCACCTTGTGCTCAGCACCCTTGACGACGAAGCCCGAAGCTTACTTGACGAAGACCGTCTCCGCGAGCTCACCGTTCAGGAACACAGACTTGACGTCGAGGTGATGTACGCGCCAATCCTTCGCTGTTGCCATGGCCAACAGCAAGCGAACGGACTCCATTCGCGCCACCGGAGCAAAGACTTCCTCGAAGTCGATGCCCTCACGCTGCACGAAACCGCGGGCAACAAGCCGAGCCTTGTACTTGACAATGGCGTCGCGCTCATCCCGCTTCACCTTGTAGACCCACTTCAGCCCAATTGGTCTGCAGCCCGCCGGCGGCTCAACCAACTCCCACAGGTCTGGTTATCCTCGATGGCCTTCATCTCTTCCAACATCGCCCGGTGCCAATTGACGTCGCGTTCAGCCACTGCAAACGTCGGTGGCTCCTCTGCACTAACAAGGAGCAGCTCTGGGTCGTCGAGAAAATGACTGGCCAACCCAGGAGCTCCCCCTTCGCCGACGATGTTGTCCACCCGCCTGAACCGGACCTCCTCGCCGTCGTGGAAGGCGTCCACGTACTCGTCGATGTCAGTGGGTGCAAAGGCGAACTCCAGTGGAGGTGTCCCCTGTCCTGCCGTCACAGGGGACTATGGTGGAGGTGAGTGCGCCGCTGCTGGTGGAGACTGCTCGCCCGCGCCCACCATGGCCAGACTTGGCTGCTCCTCCTCGGCCGCCACTGCTGCTGGCCCGTGCACATTCTGCTCTCCAGCACCAGCAGCCTGCTCTCCAGCATCTCCTCCTCCTTGGATCACCAAGTGCTCGATGGCAAATGTGCCGCTGACACCAGCAGCTTCCCCCAAGCCTAAGTATTTCCAGTCCCAAGCCACCATCTCATCGATCACCACATCCCTAGAGATCACCACCTTGCCTCTCTTGGGATCATAAAGCCGATAGGCCTTGCTGTCTTCCTCGTAGCCTAGGAGCACCATGGGTGTGCTCCTGTCCTCCATCTTACCGAAGTGAGGCTTGGTGTTCTTCACATGGCCGACGCAGCCAAATGTCCTGAGGAAGGACACGTTCGGCTTGCGTCCATGCCAAGTCTCGAACAGCGTCTTGCCCTTTAGGGCCTTGGTGGACGTGCGGTTGAGGATGAACACCGCCGTGGTCACCGCCTCACCCCAGAACTCCGCCGGGATCTTCTTGACTTTCATCATCGACCTTGCCATGCCGACCACCGTCTGGTTCCGCCGCTCCGCCACGCCATTCTGCTGCGGCGTGTACGGTGCGGTGTGGTGGCGCACCACACCTTGATCCGCATAGTACTCACCACCGCGATCAGTCCGCAGCACACGCAACTTCTTCCCACTCTCAACCTCCGTGCGTACCTTGAACTGCTTGATGGCTTCCGCTGCCTCGGCCTTGCTGGTCAGAAGCTGCAGCCACATGAACCAGCTGCAATCATCCACCAGCAAGATGAAATACTTGCGCCCACCGTGCGTCGCCGGCGTGATTGGCCCGCAGAGGTCACCATGGACCAGCTCGAGGGCCTCTGTCGCGCGGTATTTCGCCGTCTTCGGGAACGGCAGCCTTCTTTGCTTCCCGGCGGCAGCTGTCACACAGCTCGCCTGCGTGCTCTATGTGAGGCAGCCCCTGGACCATCTTCTCCAGCTTGCCGAGGGCGTCGAAGCTGAGATGACCATAGCGGGCGTGCCACAGCCACGGCTCCTCCGTGCGCTGCGTAGCCAAGCAGATGGGCTTCTCCACCTTCAAGTCGAGTAGGTACAGCCGGTTCTGGGACCTCTTCACCTTGGCAAGAAGCCGCTGCTCCCGGTCCCTGATCCTGAGGACGCCGTCCTTGATCAGCACCTCGCTGCCGCGCTCATCCAGCTGGTCAATGCTGATGATGCTTGAACGAAGCTGCGGGATATAATATACATCCGTCAGCGCGCGGTGCTCGTCGTTCTGGCACCTGAACATGATGGTGCCGCGCCCTCGGATCGCCACCCTTGAGCCATCACCAAACTTCACCGTGCCGGTCATGTTCCCGTCGAGCTCGGAGAAGGCCGCCTTGGAACCCGTCATGTGGTTGCTAGCACCGGAGTCCAGGTACCACCGCTGCTCCTGCTCGCCGCCCACACGTCCGAGGTGGACTTGGGCGCACGGCTCGTCGAGGTTGACAGCCTTCAGAGCCTTCCCATGCTCCTGTACGGCCATCACCTCTCCCTTCTCCGTGGCCTCAACGTCATACAGTGCACAGAACGTTGTCATCAGGAGAGTGGCTTCATCATCATCATCAGCTTGCGCCAAGTGAGCCACGGCCTTCTTCTCCTGCTTGCGCTTTGGGCATTCCTTTGCCCAATGGCCTATCTTCCCGCAGTGCCGGCAGGCGTTGGGATCGACCTTCTTCTTGTACGAAGAAGCCTTGCAGCGGCATGTGCCGTCGCCACCGCGATTGGAGGAGGCTTCCCCGGACTTATTCTCCTTCATCTGGGCAGCCTACTCCTCCTCTGTCAGCAGCAGCTTACTACTGTCCGTCGTTGCTGTGGCCTGCTCCATGTGCTCGTCCACCGCCCGCAGACGACCGGTCACATCCTCAATGGTAAGGTGGACAGGTCCAGCATCGTCTCTATGGAAAGAATGATCGAGATGTACTTGGAGACCGCCTCTTCTTCGTCGATGGTGACGCCGTGGCTCCCCAGCCTGCTGATGAGCAACTGCAGGCGGAGGGGGAAGTCCTCCACCGACTCACCATCCTTGAACTTGAGGTTGGCGTACTCCTGCTTCAGCAGCTGGGCCGTCGCCTTCTTTGCGCGATCGGGAGCCGACGCGCATCGCTGCAATGGCCTTCCACACCTCCTTAGCAGTCTTCTTCACCCCTAGCGACTCCTCGTACTCCACAGGCACAGCAGCGAGGATAGCCTCCAACGCTGACATGTCGTCTTCTTCGTTGTCGGTGCCCTTGTCAATGGCGCTCCAGAGCCGTCGGGCTCTGAGCTTGACCTTCATGGTCACCGCCCACTCGTCATAGTTGGTGCGAGTCAGCGTCGGCCAACTGGTGCCGCTGACCTCCCGCACCGTGCGCACGACGACCTCCTGTCGTGGCTGGGCCGCCCCGGCAGCATCGCCACCTCCCGCTGCTCCGCTGTTGTCGCCCATCTCCAAGCCAGGTGCCATCACCGGCGGTTAGTCCGGCGACGCAGCTGTACGGCTCCGATACCACTTGTTGGTCCCTCGCTGCTCTGCACAGGTAAGCAGTAAGCTTACCAGCACACACACTCACTCACTATGGCTAGAGGTAGAAGAAAGGGTTGAACTCAGACACACACACACAGCCCAAGCACCAGCGTTGGCCAGAGCTCTGTTCCTGGTTGTGGCAAACTGAACAGCCCTTTTGCATTGCCTTAGGTGTAGTATATGTACAACTCATGTACCAACTATAAGGTACACATGAGTATAGCTGAGTAAAGCCCCAACTACTCCTAGTACTTGCAGTACAATCCTTACCTTAGTCCACTACCAAGACATGGCTGATGTATTAGCTATCAACTAATGCACTAGTGGTGACCTATTGTCTTACTACTACCAGTGGCGGATTCAACGGTGGGGCGGGGGGGCTCGAGCCCTGGAGCCCCCCTGAACTTTTAGGCAAAGTTCTATCGTGTAGGTGGGGCTGAGACTTAAGATCGAGCAGCAGTTGGAGGTAGAAGACGACTATGTTGCTATCGCACTTTTGTTTAGCCCCCCCTAAAATTTTTCCTGGATCCGCCGCTGACTGCTACAGCAACTAGGACAGCAGAGAATGACCTATTGCCAACTCTGATGTGCAGCAAACAAAGAGAGAGAGATCAGCAACAGATTATGTCTTACAATTGTTTCTCCCTACATTCTTTTTACTGATTCTGATTGGCTGACCTGTGACCTGAGTAATTGGCTTCACAGAAGCACACTTTACATACAAGAAGCCTACTTTTTCCGGTGGTTCTCATTAAATCAAACAACAGAAGCTATTGTGAATCACTACATGGAATTGTGCATTGAAATTTTTTTTTCTGGTGATCAAACTTGGGTGTTAAAGTTTGTCAGTCCATAATAAATACCAAAAAAAACTTTTTAAGTCCTCTTGTGTGATGTTTTGGGAAGCAATTTTGCTTGACTGCAATGGATATAACCTCCCAGCATGCTTTACCCTACAGCTACAAGTATGCATTTGTTGACATAATTTTTTTTCTTGGTCAAACATGAGAGATGCATATGATTATATTAAGAAGAAGAAAATGGTTTAGAACCCATACAGACACCACACACCATTTATACATGCTCGCCACTAAAAATAATCACAAGTCAAAAACGACCTCAACCAACAAATCAACTGTCAGTTGGTGCAAGAGCAAGGAGATGAGAAACCCGTTGATCCCTAGCCAAACACCAGAGCTGTAACTCCTCCCTAATGAGCATTAGCACCCCGTTCAAGTTAGGCAATATCCTATCACCCCATCTGTTGATATGAGGATGAAGGAAAAAGATGGTTCTGATCTAATCTAGTCATCATGTACCATTTAGCACAAGCTACCAAGTCACCTTATGACATCAGTCAACATAAAACCATGACAGTCCCATAGGCTTCAATAGAAGAATTTTTTTTCTTTCAAAGGTACCACTCAATGTGTATTGCTGCAATAAATTTCAGTAATCAAGATTACATACCCCACGAAGATGATTTTTCGTCTTTTCACTCAACCAAAGGTTCTTATTTCCATACTTTAGAGATAGTTCAATGACTCACATTGCCTAGACTCCTAGAGGGCACATTTTGGATAACTTTCTTCAAGGGGATTACCATAACAATTTACCCTCAAATAAACTATCAACATCTTTTAGCATGAAATCGCAAATAGGGATTTCAAATAGAAATGGTAGCAACAAAACAGAAATCTCCTTTATCCAAGTCAAAAGTAACCACAAATACAATTTACCTAGTGCTACAAAAAGGGATGGTGACATGAATTTCAGGTTTATGTCTATAACAATTCAAACACAGCAAAGTTAGAAATAAGTATTGACCAAAAGAGGCCAATTTGAGTTAACATTCAGCAGTTATTTTCGTCAGAGAGTCAAGGAGCAAGGAGCCTAGAGATGATTGCTTGAAAAAAAGAGGAGACTAGAGATGTGAAACTGAACTGAACGTAGGCATTGCATCCTGAGGATACAGGCCACCAACTTAAAAGCTGTTCGTACAGGTGCTGATGATAGTCGACATGTCAAGGAGCAAAAGCAATGATGAACTAACCATTATGTTTTTTATAAGTTTTCCGACATGGACACGCTCCAATTTTGTAAGAAACTCGACAAAGCAAACTAAATGAACTTGAGAACTAAGACTTGTATAGCATCTAAAATCATCGTCCTAAATGAATCGCCCACAGCCACAGTGTACCACAGTGAGTAGCCACTATGCGTCTATGCCTAACATTTCAGCCTGGAATACCTCTGAGTCCCTACTGTTGCAGGTGCACAAAAGTGATGGATCCCTTCGACCATCCTACTTCCCTGAAATAATTCCCGTGTTCCATTGGGACTCCTTACTTCCAAATTCACACGCCGTAGGAGGGCGGCCAGGGAGGTAAGGCATGGTGGTGTGCGTATGTACCGATGAGGAGCGAGGCGCTGGCCTCGGGGAGGTAGTAGAAGCGGTGGCGGCGCAGGACGTGGCCGAGGACGAAGGAGAGCACGAGCATGGAGATCTGCAGCAGAACCCCCACGCCGGCCACCTGCTGCTCCTTCCCTGGCGGGGCGAGAGGCGGCGGCTGCGCCAAGCCGCCGCCCGCCGGCGGCGAAGCCGAGGCCAGGCTCAGCTCCAGCGCCATCTCCCCCGCCGGCGGCGCCGGAACCCCGCTAGTAGCCTCGCTCGGGCGTGGCCCGGTCAAGGGATTGGGCGGAGCGGAGGAGGTTCTAGAAAGGAGGCCGGGGTCTCGTGAAGAATCGGAGGTGGCGCGGGGTGGTTCGCGGACGGCTTGGGGGAGAGGGGAGAAGGGGGCGACGCCGCGACGGGACGGAATGCGGGGGGCTGCGGGCAATGGTGGGCCCGCGATTCCTGACGCGGAGGATGCGTACAACGCCGGTGCTTCGTGCTAGCTGTTGCTGACTTGCTGTTCGATGCTTTGATTCGATTGTTCCGGCCTGCATTCGTTCATCTCTTGTTCGAACCAACAGAAAGAAAAGTCGTCCATCATCGGTCCCGAAAAACGGGCTGCAAATTCGATGTATTTTGTCCCTTTGCGTCTTTGTACAGAGAGAAATGGTCAACCTTCGTGTTTGAATTGAGAGACATACGATTGAAAACGAAGTCTCTTGAAGTTGAAGGTCTTCGGCCTTCGTGATGTATAGCCAACCAGGTGTCTCCTCTTGAATGGGTAGTGCATTTTGTTTACGGAGATACACGTCCGGATGTCCGCACTCACGCGCGCGTCCACACCCCCGCGCATGGTTCATTTTCCTGCGCCTCATTAACCACGCCTGCTCGTTTTTCGCGTCCAGGCGAGGCCCACGCTGTTCGGACGCCCCACGTCAACCAACCACGCTCGGGCGCCCACCCGGCAGCGCCCCAATAGCTGCAGCAGGCAGCTATCATAGTGGGTTCTATTTAACATGAACATTATCAGATCTATTTTTTTTAGTATGCAGATGAAACACTTGTGATATATATTTAAAATAATTAAAACACTTATAACATACGTCTGAAACATTTACAAAACACCAAAAACTTGAAAGCATGTGTGTAGCCATGGCAAAACATTGCAACATCCAGATAAAAACACTTGCAAATAAACATATGTATGAAAACACATGAAACACTTACATATATTTATATATATATATATGCAACATCCAAATCTATTTTTGCAATATACGTCTAAACCAGACGAAACATTAGAAACATACATGTATAGCCATGACAACATGTGCAGCATCTCGATCTACTCCTGCAACATCCGCATAAAACACTTGCAACGTATCTTAAAACATTTGAAAGATACATTTGCAACATGTGACGTATCCTGATGTGGCCTCCTCCGCCGTCTGCAGCGGGGCGCCACAGCCATAGTAAGAGCGTGAGGCCGGAGGGCTTCCACGCCAAGGCTCGCGCTTCTCCTTGCGCCCGGTGGCGTCGTCAGGCGCGAGCACGCACGCGACAACCTCGGTGACCAGCTGGCGGCCGAGGAAAGCGGTCCCCAGGTGGCGCGGCGGTGCCTACGCTGTTAGGCAGGTGGGCGTTGGAGCAGGAGCAATAGCAAGGGAGGTCCGGCGAGCGTGGGGGCTTGAGCAGTGGAGGTGGCATCGGTAGAGTTTTGGGGAAAGTAAGAGGACGTTATGGATGATGTATGATATGAAGCAAAGCACGAAAAGTCTCTTTTTTATCCAATTCTAGCCGGCGCACGATAGTAAAAAAAACTGGTCAGTCCACAGTCCGGACGGACAGACGCCGAGAGCTTGTTTTGTGGTTAAGTCAGTGTTTTGACTTACACATGCACGCATACCGAAGAAGTGACCATGTAACAGTAAAGGCATACATCCTAGTACTCCTATAAGCCATAGTATTGCAATACAAGTATACGTACTTGTATAAAAATGCATACATACGGAGTACTCGCTACTTTGAATACAAGTGTTGACGATAAAAAAAAGACATTGCCATAATGTTTATAGCAACAAGGGGATCCCATAGCATGTTTTGGATCATCACGTTGAAGATCCGGAAGAGAAAGATAAGGAGACGAGATCATCGGTCAAACCGGCCTGGCCGGCCTCCATAGCAGGCCAGGCTGGTTGCCTTCGCCGCTGGCTCCTTGCTGTGCTGCTGGCTGCTGCCGAACCAACCTAGCCGATTTTGGCTGCTCCTTGCTGTGCTGCTGGCTGCTGCCGAACCAGCCTAGCCGATTTGGAAACCGGCTAGTTCGGCTTGCTGGCGCTGGTGGCCACCCTCCTCTGCATGGCTGCTGCCGAACCAGCCTAGGCAGCTTGGGAACCAGCTAGGCCGGCTTGCCTGCTCGCCCTGTGCCCAACCGGTCTAGCTAGATTGAAAATTGGCCAGGACGGCTCCCCTGTGTGCCTGCTGGCCGAGCCGCTCCCAAGCCCGCATAAACGGCCTCGCCGGTTTTCCTGCTCACTTAACTTATCAGTACGACTTATCAGCTATGGAACAATGTTTTTTTCTCACAACAAATCAGCTTCAGTCAGCTTATCAGCCACAGAAACCATCAGCCGAACAGATTAAACGCACTTTTGATCTATTAGTGACATAGGAAAACTTTTCTTGTATTAAGTGTTCCTTGTGGTATTTCACATTGCTAATCTATCGATGGATCGGATAAGAAGCCATCTTCTGTATTATATATGTTGTCTCACTTGAATATTACCTCAGCTTAAAAGGTGTATCTCTCCCTTAAAAAAACGGTATATCTCTACTACTAGTCATCTGAAACAAGTATATGCTTGCTTACCAATAAGTGTGATAGCACCTTCAATTCCTTGCACGGTAGATACCACACAAAAATTAGCTTCGCAATTGATTAAAGGCTTATTGATTTTTATTTATTTCATAAGTTCATCAAGTCTACCGGTGACTAGCATTACATGATAGGCAGATTTTGTTCTAGGACACTGAACAAAGATGTATTAGCAGTCCACGAAGCTGATGTTAAAATTTGCTAGGACCATTATGAAATCGTCATCATCTGCTGTAGGACACCGCTAAGGTGATTTTTTTTGTTTACGGGTAAACATAAATTAAACGATTGACCGTTTAAACGGTCTAAACGGAATAGGCATAAATGATGTTAAACAGGCTAAACGGCTGTGTAAACGAACACCGGGTCAATCCATGTGAGTTTTAATGTATAAATTTGTATACTTAAGTTTATTATATTCATAAATATGTACACTTGATTTGTTATAGGCATAAATATGTATATTTAATTCTTTTCACGTGCATAAATATATATACATACTAAAATAATTGATTTTTACTTGCATAAATATATACAGATGCTAGAATAATTAATTTTACATTAAAAATATGCATATTTTGGTAATATTGTGTAAACCGTTTAGGCCATTTTAATTCTCTTGAAATATCGTCTAAACCGTTTACATGCTAAACAAAAAGTGATCGACACTGTTTAAAGTTTAGCGTTTAGGATAAGTGTCGGTGTTTCGAGTAAACACCAACGAGTAAATTTGTGTTATTGCGTATCTGGCTCGGATGGTGTGCTAAAAAGACACAAGGTTTATACTAGCTCGGGCAGAATGTCCCTACATCCAGTTCGTGGCTGCTGTTCATGTTATTCGCACTGAAAAGTTCGTAGTAGGGGTTACAAACGGGCGAGAGAGGAATAGATCCCAAGTCTCTGATGGAAAAGGTCGAATGGGTGCTGAGAGCTTGGTTGCTGCTCAGCTATATGTTCGAGGTTCGATTCTAGTGGTTCTGCTGTGATGTGGTTAATCGATCCTCTTAGCGAGGTGCCCTGCTTTCCCTTTTATATGCCAAGAGAGAGCAGGGATTATAGATGGGAGAAAAGAAGAAAACTATAGGCAAAGAAAGTCCTTCAAGGATGCCGGGTCTTCCTTTTTCTCTGTGCGGGCCTCGCTGACATGGCAGGCGGTGGCAGGGATAGCCCCACACCGGGCGCATGTCCATGACCCTGATAGGGCCACGCTAGGCGTCTGTTCGCTGACGATGCCATGTCCTGGCATTGTCAGCGAGTTGTCACGTCCCATCCCGCCCCGACGGGCTACGCGGTGGACCAGGGTGCTGATCAACGATCATACAGGGAGCAGGCAGCACAGTAACCACACGTCCGTTACTGTGGATGATGCAAGTTTCCTTCTGGACCGTAGAGATTGTCACGAGCTTCCGTAAGGATCTGAGCCCGAGGGCAAATGACGGCGCCCACAACACTATAAGGCAAATGTCGGCGCCTACAACACTGTTTAGGCTCTAACATGTCTGGAAGGTCGCAAAGCACCCTTCTGGCATGGGCTGATGGTACTTTCCTATAGGCGTGTAGGGTACGGTCCTCGGTATTGCGGTTAACTTGAGTGCCCTGCCTTATCTGCGCGCGTCGTTATAAAGGAGTCGTGCACAGACGTCGGGCGAGGCGGAGCCAGCCCTCAGGGGTCGGGCGAGACGGAGCCATCCCTCGGGATTCATCCGAGGCAGAGCCAACCCTCGGGGGTCAGATAGGGCAGGGCCCACCGCCTCGGTGGCCAAACGAGGTGAGACCCAACAAGCGGTGTAGTCACGCTCTTGATCACGCGGACAAATCAACGTTGATGGTCATTAGCTTCTCCTCTTCGGGTACCCTAGTATTGGTCCCCGACAGTAGCCCCCGAGCACCCAGGCGATTCGAGTAGAATCGCCTAGGGGATTTTCTGACTTGCCAGCTGGTGCGCGTGAGCACACTCGGTGGGTGTAGCCCCTGAGCCTGTGAAGGAGTGAATACTCCTTCGGAGGCTTTTTCGAAAGAGGGGATTCTGAGGGCCCTGGCCCTCTATTGTTGCCCACGACGTGTCCTGAAGACGATGATTCATTTTCGCTGAGGTCGGACCCTTTACGGGTATGGTCGTGAGATTTGGTGGTTGTTTAGCTGGATAGTTTGATTGGGGTCCCAGTATCTCGTTCACGGGGATCCGGTCAGGGTAAGCCTGGCTGAGACTCAATCATGGGCTAAGATGCCCGTGGCTCTCGTGCGCCTAGGCGCTGGCCGCTTGCGGGGCCTAGCTCTTTCTGTCCCTTATTGTAGGGGTGTTTGGAGCAGCTGTTGGACCTATTGATGGGCCAACCGTCGAACCCCTAGGCCTAGACGGG